TCTATGAGTCTATGAGTTTTACCATTGGCTACTCAAGGATTTGGCTCATCAATTTCAACAAGACCAGGTTTGGTCCAATAAGAACAACTACTGTAAAATATTCAGGACAACTAATAGGGTGAGGGAGAGAACATAACGCTTTTACAAGTGACAATCATAAAAATATCAATGACTAGATTCAACAGAAATTCAAGTTCCTCCCTATAGCTTCTGAATTTGGGGTTGTCAGTCTGTTTTATAACCATTCAAAAATAAAAGGACTGGGCAACATAAACTGTCTTTTTGGTGAATGTAAGAATGTGTAACAAAATATTTTAGGTGATTTTACAAGTGTAGAAACAGATAGTTGTGGTAATCAATTCCTTTTTATTTTATTTTTTTCTGTTGTCTTTCTCTCTAATGTAGAAATAGAAAACAAATTATTGTAACAGTGTAGTTCTGACAAGTCAGTATAATTTAGTTTCAATAGACTTGGTAATACTATTTAAACCCTGAAAGTTAATAAACATGGATTTGTAGAATTAAAAATATCGAACAATTGGAGTGCTAGCAACTCACAAAATTAAAGTTTTATAACCCAAAGTCGAAGACTGTATTCCACAGTTTAAATATTTCATATCTGACATTTTCAAACTCTACAGTGTGAAGCCTGATTTTGATTTTTCAATGCAATATAACTTTTGTTAGTTTGATTTAAAATCAAGATAAAACCAGTCCAGACTCAACTTTTTCTCTTTTTAAAAAAAACAAGGATAACTGATTCTCTAGCCAATTATATTTTCTATATCTTTCTCACTACCCAAAATGCAAAACATGCAGATTGTAAATACTGTAAACATAATTGCCCTAGAATATCAGTCACATTCTTTAATGTGATTGATACCCTCTTGCATTCACTGAAATAAACTTGAATTTTGAAATACATTAGGCTACTACAACATAAAATCACCCAAGGTGACTACCTAGAAATATAATAGCTGAATAGCAAAACTTCCCACACAATGGTCTATTAAGGCTTTGGATTGTCTTTTCTTAATCAGCTGTAGGTACATGGAACAATTTTTTTCTTGATTATTAGAACTCGTAGTTTGTACTTACATTGGAGATAGGAAGCAATCTTTACATCTGAAAGCCAAGATACCATTTCTTTTCCAATTAAGGATGCTGTACATTGTTAGGAATATCACAAGTAGCAATTATGAGGACATCTAAGACTAGAAGAAGTTTCTATCATAAATAAATTAATTGATTAAGCTGTAGTAGTGATTACAGAGAAACAAGGTGGTATCTGAAACTTGTCTCTCCTTTGAGTTAACACACTGTTTTAGGCATTGTGGGCCAGATTCTGCTAACCTTACGCCATGGGAAGTCCTATTAATTTCAAAAACTAGAGTGCCAGATCCTCAGCCGGCTTAGCAACTTTAAGGTCAATGGAGTTATGCTGATTTACATCAGTTGAAGATCTGGTCCACTGGTCCCAGTCTCATGGGATATGTATACACTGCAATAAAAAAAACCTGTGGCTAACCCCTGCCAGCTGACTTGCGCTTGTGGAGGGCTTGGGCTGCAGGGCTGTTTACTTTCAGTGTAGACTTCTGGGCTCAGGCTGCATCCTGAGCTCTGGGACCCTCCCACCTATCGGGGTCATAGAGCCTGGAATTCTACACTGCATTTAAACAGCCCCTTAGCCCGAGCCCCACTAGCCTTAGTCAGCCGTGGGTATCTAATTACAGTGTAGATATATTCATTGAAATGAATGGGATTGCTTGTTGAGTTTCTTCTCTGAGATCCTTCCTGTCCCATGAGCAAAGGAAGAAGATTCTGAAAGTGGCCCATGAGCTAGGTAAGTAGTATAGAGTGGAGAATTCTGTGGAACATTGGTCTACCTTCTACAAGAAAGGAGGCTGTATAGTTTACATGGCCTATACTTCAGTGGAAGGGCAACCAATCTCCTTGGGGACAAGCTGGCTAGAATAGACAGGAGGAGGTAACAAACAAGAGGAATAGGACTTGCTCATTTATGAGCATAAATTCAATTTAGCTGGTATTACTGAAACCTGGTGGGATGATTTGCACAACTGAAATGTTAAAATCAGTGGTTAAAATCCAGGAAGAATCAAGTGGACAAAAAGGGAGCAGGAGTGGTACTCTTTGTCTAAAATGGCATTACCTGTTTCTGAGTCACTGATAACGCCGAAGAAAATGATCTTCAGTGCTTATGGACCAAAGCCCTAACAGATAAAGCACAAGATGGGGTACTAATTGGTGTCTGCTAGAGACCACCAAATCACACTACAGCATGGGATGGCTGCCTTCCTACGCACCTATGTATAACATGTAGGGGAAAACCTGCACATCTACCAACGTGATATATGCCATCATGTGCCAGCAATGCCCCTCTGCCATGTACATTGGCCAAACTGGACAGTCTCTACGCAAAAGAATAAATGGACACAAATCTGACA